TTGGTAGCCCAGGCTGGCCTCGAACTCACAGAGATCCACCTGCCTCTGCCTCCCGAGTGCTGGGATTAAAGGCGTGCGCCACCACCGCCCGGCTAAAACTCCTATTATAAGATAGTCCCTGTAATTGGCGTTGATGCTCACTGTGTTACTGTCCAAACTGCGTGTTTTATAGCGATTGCCCTTACTTGATGGAGAATTTACTGAATTGTAACCACTCATCCCAGTGCTGCATTCATTAACTCAGTTAAACATCACAACAACCTGAGAGGGATTCTGTGCAATCACTGTGAACCAAGGGACAGATAGGTCAGGTCACAGCCCAAAAGTGGCATTATGGAGGTAGCCCTCTGCTGCTCTGGGAATATTGGAGGTGCTGTCTGGTTTGATCTGGGCTGTGGTCAGAGGTTGCTACTGCATGTACCTTGTGTGCTCTGGTGCTCTGCCTGGTGCACACCAAGACTGCTGGTTCACACTCCATCTATACCAAGAGTCTGTGGGTCTCCTCACTTCCTACTGTGTGTGTGTGTCCCTGATGTCCTAAGTCAGAACAGTTAGCTTCTTATTCTCCCAAACCTAATGAAAACTCTTATTTCAAGAGAATTATTATCTAGGTAGAAGACCCTACCTAAAATGCTTGGCATCTGAAGTGTTTACAATTTCAGATATCTTGAAACTTCCAATTCCAAGTTTTGGAATATTTGCATATATTTAATAAGATATCTTTGGAATGGGACCCAAGCTTAAACACACAATTCATTTATGTCTCGTATATACCCCAAACATATAGCCTGGACTGGTTTTATATAACACATCTAGTGTACCTGTGTTTTGACTGTATAACCTGTACTAGTTTTATATAACACATCTAGTGTGCCTGAGTTTTGACTGTATAGCCTGGACTGGTTTTATGTAATACATCTAGTGTGCCTGAGTTTTGACTGTTTAGCCTGGACTAGTTTTATGTAATACATCTAGTGTGCCTGAGTTTTGACTGTCACCATCATGTGAGGTCATTTATTTTCCACTTTGACTTTGTGTTGCACTGAAATCATTCAGATTTTTAGGTCATTTCCAATTTCCACGTTTTAAGATTGGTGTCGTTCAGCTGGTCCTATGGAGACCACTGCTGCCTGCCGTGCACTCTCCGGTTCCTGAGAGCCTGCTTGGTGTGTCCCCCTTCCCTTGCCCCGGCTGTGCATGCCAGGGTGCCTGTGTCAAGCCACTCTTGATTGCCTGAGGCCCTCACTCTCCAAGTCCCCATCCAGAATGCCCCTTTGCTCGCCTCTTCATTCTGAATAGAGGCCTCAGACCTCTCCACTGCATCCCACACTTCAACTTCATCCTGTCTGTCCTTGCTGTTTTTTGGAAGCTGTTTTACTCCTGCCTGTATGAGGCCAGCCACAGAGCCCTGGGATAGGTGATAGAGACCTGTTCAAAAACACCATATTGTGACCTCTGTGCCCCTCTAGGCCTGTCTCTCAGCTTGGTTCCTGTGACAGCGAGATGAGAACAGCTTCCATTCTGTGTAGCAGTGATGAGACACTCATGCCTTCAGCCCGTGTACTTTCCCGGCATACCTCCTGGATTCTGGCTACTTGCCATTCTGTTAACTTATGGTGCTGTGTTGTCTTAAAATACATGAGGTTATAGGTCATTGTCATGCAGGACCCTCTTTTAAAGGAGATTACTAATGATCAGAATTCTTACCATACTTTTCCTTAGGTAACAACTAGATCGTGGCAGTTTTTGACATTAAGACAGCAATTTTGACTTGTTGGGTACCAGCAGGTATGACGTTAGATATGCAAAATTGTCCTCCTCTTACAGAGAGAAGTTTTTATGTTCAGTGTTCTGGCTCAGGGGAACAAAATGCTTCTATTCTGGCAGTGAGGTACCATATGCTATAGAAGCAGAGCACATGTACCTCATTTCAGCTTTGCGTATCCCATGAGTCCCTGATGTCAATCTTGAGTTGGTTTCCTGGCAGCCTGTGTTGCTTAGCAGTGAAATCTGGTGTGGTGCACTAATGCTGCTCTAGTTTGCATGTGTGGACTCAGCTTTGATGAGAAATCAAACTTGGGTGTCACCGGGTCAGGACACCGCTTGTTCTTTCTCTGGCTGTTGGTGCAGTTTCTGCCCATCTATATTTTGAACCAGGAAGGAATGCTGGGAGAATCTTCAAACCATGCACTGCTGCTTTCAGCATGATTGATAAATCCCACCCTGACCTGGCATCATACTCAGCCCTTTTCTTGACGGTAACCATCCATTCTGATGAGGTTGGTATCTGGTCTCATTTCAGTTACGATTCACATTTCCCCAGTGGCTCGGGATACTGCACATTCTTTCCGCGTATCTACTGGCCACATGTGCTTTGAGAACTCGTTGGATTAATGTACCCACTTACCCGCTGGATTTTGTGCTTCGGAATTTATTAAATTCTGACACTGTGGCTGTTTACTTCACCAGAGGAACAGCAAAGGTTTTGCCTGCTCCCTACGTTGTCTCTTCGCCCTGTTGTTTCCTTTGCTGGGTAGAGCTTTGAGATTGAGTTGATGAAACCCCATTTCTTAGGTCTTACTGTCATTTCTTGGGTTCCTGACAGTCTATTCAGAAAGTCATTGCCCATGATTGTATCTTGACCATTTTCCCTTGTTGCCTCTAGCATTTGAAAGTCTTACATTGAGGCCTTTGACCCATTTCCAGATGGTTTTTGCCAAGCGTGAAAAGGATTTCATTTTACTCTTCTGTAGGTAGAGCCCGGTTTCCTTGTGCTGTTTACTTGCTGAAGAGATGGGGTTTTCCCTTCATTTTAAGGCACCTTTGTTGAAGATCAAGTGGCTCCAGCTGTCTAGGTTGGTGTTCCCAAGCTGTGACAGCCCTGCCACTGCACTGGGTCTAGGTAGCATGAATCAGGTATTGTTGATGCTCTAGTGAGCTCTGCTTAGGCTCTTTAGGGGTCTTTTGTGCTTCGGTGTGAATTTTAGAATTGTTTTTTCCCATTTCTGTAAATATCAATGGAATTTTGATAGTCATTGAATCTGTATTTATTTTATACATCCATTTTCATGATGTGAATTCTCGTGATCCATAAACATGGGAATCCTCTCTTTGGTTGTGAATCTGGCCCTTTAATAGCTGAGCCAGCCATCATCTCTTTATTGCACACAGGAAGTCTTTCTTCAGCATTTTATAGCTGTCATTGTAGAAGTGTGTCTCTCCCCTGCCGCCCCCCCACCCCCACCCCATTTCATTAGACATTTCTAGGTTCTGGTTTTGGCCATTGTGAATGGAATTGTTTTCCTGCGATCTCATTCTGCCTTTGCTTCTGAGCAGAGTGCACCAGAGCTGTGTGAGCCACCCAGGATGCATATAGGCTTCCAGCTGGGAGAGGCAGTGTGTGAGGCGGGGGTGGGGGTGGGGTGCACACATGATTCCTTGGACAGTGCAGGTAGACCTTCCAGGGACAGAAACAAGCAGCCCTGGACTGCTTGATGGTAGTAGCAAGAGATGGGATTCTCTGCCAGTGTGTCAGCAGGGCTTGAGTAGCCGTTAGTGGCCCAGCACTGCAGTGGGGGTTAGCATGTTTCCATCCATGAAGGCTCGCTGTATGCTCCTTACCAGATGAGAGAATGTGGGCAATGTGAGCTCTGCAGCAAGCTTCACATGTGCCCATAGGAATGCAGCGTGTGGACCCAGGCCTGCTTCCTCATAGTCTTTTACAGCTTAGGCTGGTACACAGGGCACCAAGGCTGTAGGTGTAGGATTCCAGGATGGGGCAATGTGTCATGGGCAGGTTGAGGTGACAGGAGCTGAATATGCACACCAGTATGACAGGCTAGGGCCTGTTGAAGAAAGATCATCCACATGTCCAGGGGACGCAAGTGGATTGCACCAGGTTTCTGAGTTTATAAAGGTAGCTTGGGGCTGGCTCAAACTGGTAGATTTTAGGTTTTCTTTGATAGACAGAGCCCCATCAAGATACCTAACCAGGACACTAACTTTACCTGTTCTTTAAATTAGCATGACTCCAGTAACAGGAATTATAGCTAATAAATTATTTCTTTGGCACTTAACTTGTACCAGATACTGTGTTAAAACACTTTACATCTCGTCAGGCAGTGGTGGTGTACACCTCTAATCCCAGCACTCAGGAGGCAGAGCCAGGCAGATCTCTGTGAGTTTGAGGCCAGCCTGGTCTACAAAGCAAGATCCAGGACAGGCACCAAAAACTACATAGAGAACCCTGTCTTGAAAAAAAACAAAACAAAAAACCACTTTACATCTCATATAAACTGACTATGAATGACTTGAATTTCTGCTGGTGAAAGAGCCAGAACACAATCCAAGTCTACTCCATGTTTCTAAGTGTGAGCTAGAGGCTGGGGAGGCCTTCGAGGTCAGGGACACACCATGAACGATCAAGAATGTGGGGCGTGTCGGACTGAGCTATGTATGGTGAACAAGGACAGGGACAAGGAAGAAGAGTGGACAGGGCGGTTACTGTTCCTTGCGGAGATGTAGCCTGTGGCGCTGGCCAGTTAAAGCTTTAGAGGACCACAGAGCAATCCTTCCAGTGTAGTGGAACAAGGCAGAAACGCCATGGGCCATAAGCAATGTGCTTTGACATCTCCTTAGGAAATAGAGGTGGAAAACATAAGAAATGGAGAGAGAGAGAACCAGGAGGGAAGTTGAGGGTCACCCCCATATGGGCTGTCACTGAAGGAAGACAGGAGCTGGGGGGAGGAGCTACAGGTGTGTGAAGAATGAAGACCTGTGCTGCAGTGCAACCTTGGGAAGGCCCTGGGGGAAAGAGGAAGTCAGGAGGGACCGAGGGTGTCTCAGTCTGGGTACAGTCCTGAAGCAAACGGAAGCTTTTGGTGAGTGGCTGTCACTTGTGTGTGAGGTAGAGGCTAGGAATGAAAACCTGAGTAGAGGGAACTCGATGGCTAAGTCACTGAGCTCCGTCCATTTGATATCTGTGTATTACTGAATTCTTATAAACACTGTTTCCCTTTGCCCAGAGTCCATCAATGAAGTCACATTTGGAGCAGGGGTCAGTTACATAGGGACACCAGCAACGCTGCATTTTACCAAAGGTAAGTTCTGGGTGTTCCTCTCTCAGGTCATCCACTGCCTCTGACGTTCTGGAAAAAACTAAATTTCTTTGTGTTTGACTCCTTTTCAGAGACAGTCGAAGCTCAGGATCAAGGAAATGACATTTTATGTTTATCGCTGCCTGATAAATCGTAAGTGTTCTTGGGGGGGCATTTTTCCAGAGCTTTTTCTTTTCATTGATTGTACATTTTCTTCTCCAGGCCTCCACAGTCACCACAGTGGAATGTCAAGTCTCTAGCCAGAAACAAGGGCAGCCCAAGATCTAGCAGGAGGTCCCTCCGCAAGGCCCCCCTGAAGACAGCCAACTGAAACAGTGTGCGTCAGCAATAACTGAAGGCAGAGCCCTGCAGGGGCATTTGCCATTCCCGCGTGGAAGGGGAAAGGATGGCGTGGCATGGTCTGCATGTGGAGAGACTTGCCTGTACAGTGCCAAGTCCTTTCATAGGATACCAACATGGCTTTGTTCAACTTGTGTGTGCCTAACCAACCTTCCATATGTCTTTATGTTACTGTAGTTGAGATTTGTAAATATATAAAGATGGCATAGACTTTTTTACAATAACATTAAGCTATTTAATATTGTGATGTTGTATTTTGAGTGTCAAACCTTCTGTGGTAAGTGACAATCTGGTCTTTAAGGAACACAATTTTGAAACCAGTTTTCTTCTATATGACTGAAGTGTCTATAGTTTCTCTGAAGTCGTTATGAAAGATATGTCCCCTTGGCTAATGGCAAAATTTTGACTGAAATATTTTTCTATTATTTATAATTGCAGATTTTATTAAAAGAGGTGTACAGTCTTTCTAAAATGAAGTAATAAAGGTCAAAGATAAATATAACCTCTTAGCATTTAGTATAATTTTTCTGGCTTTTGGGACAGGGCTTTATTGGTAGTCTTCTTAACATTGCATCAAGGATTTACAAATACTTAATACAAATAAGATCAACTCTTTCCCATTATGGTTCATCTGCCCACCTGCCTTTGTTCCCATGTAGAAACTTTCTGTCTCCCTAACAATAGACATCCCAGTAGTATATTCGTTATAATCCTGCTTATGGATTATAAAAGGGCTCTTGACCCTTGGAGTGGTGGTGGTACTGATAGGTGATGCTGCTAAGGACTGCTCCACAGTTGGGATGACTTGAGTCCTGTGTTGGTACAGTTTCAGGAATCCAGAGAGATGGAAATGAATGTTCTACTGTTTCGGAGACATGAGTCTCACTGATTGCTCAGCATGTTGAACTGGACTCATCCTTTTCTTGTTTCAGCCTCCTGAGTGGCAAGGACCACAGGCATGTTCTGCCATACCTGGCTAGTGCCCCCCTCCTCCCGCCCCATGCTAGCCAGGACCAGGCAAGCCCTCTGGCACCAGAATTACTGTGTGTAGTGCGCGTGTGGTAGCCAGATCCGGGGATGGAGAACTCTATACCCCGCCATCAAGAGGCTCTGACAGTGGGTGGATAAGTGTCCCAGCTGCTCTTGAGTGAACACCGGGCTGAGTACAGACGCCGATTTCCTTATTGTGACGGGGCCTTTGTGGAGTATGTGCCTAACCAAATGCTAAGGCTACAGGGTCAACTAATACAAAGAAAGCAGTGGTTTCATTTGGTTTTTTAAAAGTTTTTTTAAGTGAGTGAGTTCTAACAAATAACCAGTTGCAGTTGTGTTAGTTGAAGTGTGTAACGTGTATGAATAGCTCCAGCATCAGCAGCCAGAAAGCAGCCTCTTGGCTTCCTTCAGTCACGTTCACATCCTACTGGTAAGTGAGCTCCTTCGGGCCATGTCTGCTCTCCAGGCTCACGTGTTGCTCTGTCAGACGTAGTTCCCGTGGCACTGTGAAAGACGGCTTTAGGGCATAAGCGTAAAAGAGGGAGCAACATGACCACCCTACTGCTGTGAGAGCCACTGGAAGGCCGGGGTAGTATTCTCCCAGCCCATTAGAGTGGCAGCTCCCCTGCTCTATCAAGGGAAAGACAGAGGTAGAGGAGGGATGAAACTACCCAACATGCAGAGGTAAGAGAGACCAGGCTCCACTGGGCAGCCACAGAATTACTGCCCTGCTGTTCTTACTGGTGTCTTAGCATACAGCCGTCCACATAAGAAAAACCAGTGTGCTTCAAGTATTCAGTAAAAAAGGAAGAGAAGGGAGAAAAAAAGCAGTAGATGTATAAAAAAATATTAAGATCACAAAGTAGCTAGCTTCTCCATAAAAACCTTTCTGGGTGCAAGGTAGGATTAGGAACTCCTTTAGACGCTCCTGGCTTCAAACCACTTTACATCATGAGTCTAGCGTGGTAAAGTGTTGGAGACCAAGGACGTCTGTTCCTAAAGAATAAAGGCTTTGGATGGTGTTTCTAGTGTCCCATAAAATGAGCAGTGTCTCAGGTAGATAAAAGATTTAAAATAAAAATTAGAAAACTGCTTTTGGTCAGGCGTTTTCCTTTGCTCGCCCACAGGCTTTGTACCCTGGCTGTGCTTTCTGAGTCTTCAAAGAGCTGGACACAACGGCTTGTCATGGGGGAGACAGCCTGCAGTGCTGAGACACTTTTATCACAACACAGAGTTACAATAGAATCTTTTTAAAATATTACTGGAGTCCAGGCTCAGTTTCAAATTGCCTTTGGCCTTAGATGCACTTAACAACTAAGCAAACAATTAAAATGAATTTTAAAAACAAGTACACTGAGCCGGGCGGTGGTGGCGCACGCCTTTAATCCCAGCACTCGGGAGGCAGAGCCAGGCGGATCGCTGTGAGTTCGAGGCCAGCCTGGGCTACCAAGTGAG